AGAGGTAGGCCAGCATTTTTTAGTCACTAAGTGCATTTCTTCGCTCTGTGATTGGTCCAGAAAACCCACGTCACTCTCTCAACCAATCAAAAAACCCGCGTTTTCCCGAGCTTCGGGCAGTTTGCTTGAAGAGTTAGCGTATGTATTTCCTTTTCAGGTGTTACGTCAAGCTGTGATTCATGGGCAGAACAAGACATTGACGATGTAGAAAGCAAAGGCTCCAAAAGAACGCGCAAGAGGAGAGGAAGCAAACAATCATCCAGAACTAAAGGGAAAGAACAGAACTTTGTCAAGCGAAACATCGAGGTATAGCGTGATGTACAGCTTTCGTTTTATTTTTTTTTTCTAAAATAGTAATTCTTCAGGCCGGCTAATTTGTATTTCCTGCAATAGGAGTTGTGAGAATTCAACACTAAGTCAGCTCTACTGAGCATGTACTGCTTAACTTTGTTTCAGTTGGCTGCCGATGCTGGGAATCTGATTCCCATGACAGAAGCGGAGAAAAAACGTTTAGATGAACTACTCTCGGATGAAACAGACCTTCTGATGGTGGAGGTTCGTATTACGCAATTTTCCGCTTAATTTCAGAAGTAATTTAGCCCTTACCTAGAGTAACTTCACTGTGTTCTGTGATTGAGATAGAAAACTCTAGACTCACGCCGTTCTCTCAAGGCAATTAATCAGATACAAGATTTCAACCAACTGCGACTTGGTCGCCCACGTTTTGCCGCGCTATATAGGCAGCTTGCGCTTTTTTAAGTTTAATTGCTCATTGGTTTTTTTTATTATTAACCTTTGTTCTGAGTTTCCGTTGTGATTACACTTTGTTTAATGGCCCTACTACGCTTTATAGTCAAACGCGCCTAAAACATGGTTCCACTTACTTTGACCTACAAGCCTCGCACTAATCAGTCAACGGATCAAATGCCACACTGCAAGCAGTCATGACTATAAGTCATTTTCCCGCGCTTCAGCCCATCAATCAGGTCACATGACTATCCCTTGAGTTCTCATTGGCTCCTTTTGTACCTCTGTTCTGATTGGTCGTTGTAATTACTCCGGTTTGGTTCGACAATACTCGGTAAAAATCTGCTCTAAAATGTTCCATTGACTTTCTGTTTTATGTCAAACAGAATGCGTACTCCGAAGGACTATCACTAACAGCAGGTGAAGGTTTTACACTGGACTGTGAGTCAAAAGCTTCACTCGCCGAAATAGACAGGTTAGAATTTCCAAACATCCTCTACCATACATAGGAAGCGGATTTATGGGTACTTTGAAGGGATGAGCAGGGAAGCCGTAGACTTTGAGCGGTCCTACATTTTCGGCGAAGTCCGTCGAGTAAAGTTAAAAAAAAAGATCAGCTGAAAAAATCCATGTTATCGCAGCGCGCGGAACTCTGGAACTATTCTTGCGCCTCATTCCCAACCCTTTAACTCCAATAAGTGACCAAGAAAGATTTTCTCCTGACTATATCAATACAATATCAAGCAGACATGAAGTGAGAATTAGGAATAAAGGAAATCAGGGGATTATCAGTTGATCCAATATCAAATTCTCCATACTAAGGTGATAAGAATTACATGGCAGACTATAAGGAGAATTACTTAAGAGATCTGGGGATTGAAAGGGTTGGCCAACTGGAACAGACTAGAGGTTTGAATTCACGTGGGATAGTCAGGTTTTCTTTACCTTAACTTACGCTCGGTACAAATAAATAACATCTTTCTTTATCCATCTTCGCTTTTACTGTCTGAAAAGTTGTTACTTATTCTAGTCAGAAACTCTTTTTTCTCTTGATTCTCCAGCAAACTTCAGGAACTTGTACCACAAGAAGAAATGGACATATTAGCTAACCAAGAGACTTGGGAACCTCACCGAGAGCTGGATCAGACATCACAAATAGTGAGATGTATTTTATTTCGGTTACGGTCTGTCCATCGTGTAAAACCTCGCTACGAAAAATTTCCAAGTTCTAAAATTCTTCAAGTACTCCTTGTCATTCTCTTCCATTTTAATCATCCCTGTGTTCTCGCTACCAGAACAGTTGAATAAGCGGGAATAAGTCGACAAATAAAATAATTTATTTCGAGCTCAAAACGTAACAAAACTAAAATGGCCGCTGCAGGAAATAGAGAGTACCGAAGCCCGCGGTTCCCAGCGGCAAAACGACACAAAGGGGCGGGAAAACGAGTGACATTTGAACAAATCCTTCTATAACACCCTTTCCCTTGTTTGTTTATTACTATCTCATAAATGCTGCTCCATCTCAGGGCACTGATATTTTGTACGGCTTTTTCTGTTTTGTAGTTTGTTGATACCAAATTTTTCTTTAGTTAGATTATACCGAGGAAGATTTTTTCGTAAAAAAAAAAAGTGGTATTTTCTGCTCTTTGAGTACTAACTTTACTTTTTACTGACTCCCAGAATAGTTCAAGTGAAAGAGATATTGACACCATTGGTAAGTGTCTTGCGCTTGTTTATGAGACATTTCCTATGATTTTTGGAAAGTTTCAACCCGCAGGCCTCATTTTGCCATTAAATGTCTGAAAACCAAAAACTAAGGTATTCACTTCGACCAATATGAAAAAAAAAAAAAAAAAAAAAAAAAAAAAAAAAAAGAGGTTAATATCTCGTGGCACCAGTGAATACAACCAGACCATGTTCCTATTTGAATAGACGGGGTAAGTTTCTAAAGAAACTGTGGTTCTACGTCGGTGGGGGTAACAAGGTAATTTGGTTTTATCAACTGAGTTAATAATGTAAATTGACCACCGTAAAGGGTTAAAAAGCTGGCGTTTCGAGTATTAGCCCTTCGTCAGAGCTCTGAAGTTTAGCATTTGATTGGCTGAAAGAGGTGGCGCCAGATTTGTGGACCAATCACAGAGCGAAGAAAGCGAAACCAATCGAATCCCCCGTTGCTTTTATACTCGGTTAAAAAAAAAAACCCTTGTAGTGGTGTATTGCTTCCGCAAAACTGTTTGTTTTATTTTTTTGAGTTTTTCATACTCAAAAAAAAATTGTTTTTTCTATACATGAGTTATTTTATCAATTGTTATTATTTAGGAGTAGGAGAAAGGATTCTCAGAGAAGAAAAAGAAATGAGGGACATGAAATCGAGACTGTTTGCTATCGAAGCTGAGCTTCAGACATTGTACCGAGAGACTGGTGACGAATCTGAGGTGTGTACCAAGAGAACAGTTACTGAAAATGTTATGAGGACGTGTAATCATAGAACAATCCATCTCCTCAGAACGCACCTCAATATACATCCGTTAACAGAATCGAAGTCTGTAATCACATTGGCCAGTCAGGAAAGAGGGAAAATGTCTCAAGTAACCATTGGGTACATTAAGTTAACGAGTGAAACCGTTTCAAAGCGCGGGAAATTATACGCGATCAGGTCTCGATTGGTTGAAGTATTGCATCTGTGTTTTTTAGACCAATAACAAACACAGGAAGCTTGCCCCAAGCGTGGGAAAACGCGGTAGACCAAGTCACGATTGGTTAAAGTTTTGTTCCTGATTGGTTTAGAAGGTGGCGCGAGTTTTTCTGACCAAACACAGAGAGCCGCGAAGTAGAACCGAACGGATGTAATCGCGAATTACTTTTGACATGTACTAGAGATGACCAAGGCTCTTATTTTCGTATTTCAGGCTGGTTTGTCGGAAGAGATCCTAGCCAGGCTTATTGATGTTAACTCACGAACAACTTCAAGAAGTACAACAGTGTCAGAAAGTGTCATGTCAGCTCTTTCCTCCGCCAGACCAGGAGAGGAAATGATCCAAGAGGAGGATGAAACCGCTTTGTTAGCCATACTTGACGACGAGAATTCCAAGGACACGAGACCGCATAGTACACAAAGTACATACAGAAGCACTTGCACACCAGATAACGAAGACCGCCGCGCTCTGAACCAACAGAGTTCACAAAGTAATGATTCTAGAAAGATTAAACGGCAAGGTAGGCTATCACAACAGAGCGGAACTCTAGAGGATGATGAAGATGCGGTGGCAGAAAGCTTGAATGATTCTCTTTTAAGCACATCGAGGAAAAAATCGAATTCGCGTGCTAGTTCTCAGAACTCAAATCCGGCAAGGGACATTGATGACCGGCCGAAGAATAAAAAAACGTAAAGATTGACAACCGCTTCAAAAACTGCCTCGAGTCAGAAGTTTTTAAGTTTACAAGTTTCTACACGTACATTAAATAAATGTTATTGACACTTATGCATTCGTTTGAAGGTGTGCGATTGACTTATTGTCGAGTGTGAAACAGTTTCAGCAATTACTTATTGACAACAAGTTGCTTATGTGTATATAAATCCCAAAATAAACGACAACGTAAAAATGATGGCTGTTAGCATGAGTTATTCTGCTTATCATAGATAACAGTTATACGGGCTTCTTTATTTTATCAATTTTTTTTTTCTAGAAGTAGTAACATACTACTTTTAATTGCATTTCTGCTTGTAAAATTTGCGGTTTTAAATTCACAAAAGAGTCGCCAGCCTCAAGAATAGTTGCTTAAGAGCAATTCTTAATCGAGTGTCGAATGTATTCCGGATTTGCTTTGGTTTTGCTTTACTTCGCTCGGTGATTGGTTCAGAAAACACACCCCACGGCTTTCAACCAATCAGAAGGGAAACAAAGGTCACGTGCGACTTAGTCAGGCACGTTTTCCCGCGCTTCAGACGATTTGCTTGTTGGGTTTTCATTGGCTTCCGTGTTTTGATTGACCTTTGTAATAACTTCTGATTCTCAATCGAGAAACGCTTAAAGTTTCTGAGTGAGGGAATTTTTTGCAAGTTCACTTAAAGCTAACGTGCATGGTTTTTATATAACATGCTTTTGTTTTTAAGGTATAAACTGGCTTTGAAGAGCATTCTGGAGAGAGAGAAACTAGTAGTTGCTAACAGCGAACTCGAAAATTTCCATATTAGAAAAATAAGAAGAATAAAAAGGCGACTATATAAAATTACCAAACGGGAATTACATCTCTAAACTTCGAAACAAAGACAGTGACGACAAATCGAAAACTTTCCATTCCCTGCATCGTTAGGGTTTCAATTAAATATGTGTGAAGTGTCGTAAGCTTTTACACTGTTTAACTGCCGTGTCCGGATCGTTAAATCTAGATATTAAAAGCTGCCTCAGTTCATTCACTTTTCAGATATCCAAAATGAGATAATTGCAAATTATCAATCAGCTTTCAAGCTTATTCAGGAGAACTTGTTTAGCTTTCTCGTAAAAGCCAAAGAACACCGCTCCTCCAAGAGAAATCCACGTCGTTCGCATTGTGACTCCTGCAAATAAGCTGTGAAAACAATAAAAAAAGGTGTTTTAACTAACTCCTTGATCAGTGCAGGGATGGGATGCTGCACTATCACTGGTAACCCATGGTTACCCAGGGATACCCCAGACATAACCTTACGGATAAAATCTTCAAGTGCCGCTCACATTGGCTTTCATAACGAATAGTTAAGAACTACTCCTTGAGCAGGCGTTGAAAATGAAATAGTGAATAGGCAACGAGGGGTGTAGCCCTGAGTTGGCTTTAATCAATCTCGTTTCCAACAAGCGCGAATGGAATATTTGATGATTAAATTTCATTAAATTCTGAACATATGAATATTTCGAGCTTTTTTCAGCTCCACAACAGTTGGTACAGTACATTTCTATTATAAACTGATAACCGCAGTTGAGTGAACCAATCAGAACACTAGATAAGCAACTAATAATTCTTAAAAATTTAATAATTGTTATCTATTCGTTATGAAAACCGAGATAAGCAGCCGTCGAAGGGTTATCCGCGTTGTTGGCCATTTACCATCTCACATTCAAGGCGCGCTCATGGAATAATTGCGAAATAACTTTCCTTAATTGCCACAGCAAATGAAAATAGTATTGTTTCCATAAAAGAAAACTTAGTAATTTTGAGATTTTTTGCGCTTTGGTAAGCTAAAATTAAAAAAAAAAAAACAGAATTTTAGATGAGATTATGGATGATGGCTTTAATCAAGTACCTTCGCGTGAGTCTTACCCTGATAAACCTTCTTGCGATTTGATTAATATGATCACTTGCGTCACACTTGCTTGAGTGTACAAGGAATTTTTCTGTTGAAGAAGAAAAAAGAAGTACATTACGGTCTAAGTAGACTTAAGGTTTTTTCTCTAAGAATTTGGAAAGATTGACACAGCAAATACGAAGGAAAGCCAGATATTTGCCTCAGTGGAGTACCCCATTTGCGCAATTTTTTTTAATTATCCGAGGAGAATTTAGGCTCACTCAGCAACGTTCGTTTATACTATTTCTGCAAAGAACTGTACGC